AACACGAGGCGGCGTGACATACACTTGTTAATTTTTTTGCATTTTAAAAAATTATCATGTTGTTATTTTAGTTTTGGGTTCAGCACTGTCTTGTTTCCGTTTTCTTGCTCTTCTCTTCCTTGCGCTCTTGATTTTATGCACGATTATTTTTTTAATTTTTTTTTTTTTTTTTTGCATTTTGTTTAATGCAGCCGGACCAAGATGGATGAGAATGAGGGGGGCTGGGAAGAATTTGCCGAAGAGCCGCAACAATATGGCGAAACGGAGGACGCAGCGGATATATACGCCGAAGAGACGCTTGCAACAGCGCAGAAAATCACATCTGATGACGATGCACTTCGCTTCGATAGCGTGAAGGAGGTGACCCTCCTTTTACGTTCAGCATACATGAGTCGGATGCTGCAGAAGCTGGGTGACTACAGTGAACAAGAGGTGGTGAAGAAGACCATCCTGCCGGAGGATCCTGAGTACCAATTTGTAATTGATTCTAGTACTCTTGTTTTGCGTATTGAGGTGGATAAGAGCAAAGCGGTCGTGTACCTGCGGGCACACTATGGACAAAGATTCCCGGAGTTGGCTATGTTCTTCTCCGACAGTGTGCTTTATGCCCGTATCGTGCGCTTGATTCAAAATAACATGGATCTCTCCGTTGTCATTGACCAGCTGGACGAGTTGATACCTTCGCAGCTCACTGCGGTTGTGATTGCCTGCGCCTCCACCACTGCGGGGAGGGAGTTGAGTGAGGAGGAGCTGCATCGTGTAGTCGAGGCCTGTCAGGAGATTGACATCCTCGAGGCTGCAAAACAGACATTTCTGGAGTATATTCAACGTTCCATGCCTCTGATCTGCCCAAATCTCTGCGCCTTTTTGGGGACGGGTATTACGTCACAACTGTTTGCCATCGCCGGTGGTGTCAGTGCGCTCTCCACGATGGACTCCACTGAGTTGGCACGGTTAGGTAGCAAACGCGCCGACTCCTCTGGGGTTCTAATTAGAACAACGGGCTTTCTCAGTAACTCGGACCTTGTTGTCAACCACCCGCCGCAGATGCGACCCAAGGCTCTGCGTCTTGTGGCAAGTACCACTTCTATGCTTGCACGCATTGACGCAAACCGTAGAGCTTCTAGTCAACAGGAGGGCTATCGTCAACGGGAGATGGCGCGTTTAAAGATGTTATCATGGCTGGACCCGCCGGTTCTTCGTGGAGCTGGAAACAACACATATGCACGGCGCGGAAGAAAAAGACCGAGGCGGCAAACACGGTAGCTACGCCATTACGTTAGCTATCATTATCCCTTTTGTATCAACCCGTTTTTTCTTGTTTGTTTTTTCCGCTTCTATCTGACGACCGTGTATGGGATGCTGCATTCATTGCACCCATTTGACCTTTCCATTTTTATTTTTATTTCTTTTGCTGGAGGGGTGTGCATGTTTCTGTGTGCGTGCGTTTGTGGTTTCGTCTTGATTTTTTTTTTTTTACAGTGTCTGAAGAAGGTTGGTCAAAGGCCCTAAAGGGTGCCGAGCACAGGTGCGTGATGAGAGAGAACATATCCCTGACAGACCTGGGACTGGAGCTGTGGATTCTCGTGTACCACCTATATGACAAACACAAAAGTGATCCGGATGTGGCGTTTCGTGAGCTGACTCTACGTACTCGATGTGTGTGCAGCAGCGAAGACCTCCTCATCGCCAGAAGCCCATCGTCGTTGTTGAGCACGCAATGGTATCGGGAAATGAACACGCGCTATAGGGATTTGCGGCGGCGCCTGAGGGAGTCTCAACGGGTGGTCTTGGAGGAGGCTGAGGAGGTGACGCGCAGTTTGTACCCCGCGGGTTGTGTGGCGAAGGAATACGCGGACGCACTTCAAACATGTGCGGCGATGCTTACCGTTTCTATGCCAAGTCAGGCAGTTGCGAGGTTTACCGAATACCGCGTACAGGAGCTTGCGTCGCTGGATGTTGCCACAGTTACTGTGGAAGAACTTGTCGATGATCTTATAGAGCGCCCGGTGCTGGATGCCCTGACCCCGCCGCAGTGGTGGACGTTTGACACGGATGGAAATGGATCCGTTTCGCTAAATAGTATTGGGCTCCGTGCTCGGCCGGCACAAATAGACATTCTGTACACGTGTTCTGAAAAAAAGTGGCGTTGCCGCATTCATTTGGACGGTATTCTCCACGAAAGTGGGCCGACAGCACCCATCGCCAGGCGCCTTGCACGCACACATGGTGCTCTGCTCAGCGAAGAACGGTTTCGCAAATATCTCGTGCATCTTCAGAGCCTTATGAAGCACGCCGTAGAGGACGGCGACCTAGGGCACTCTTCGAACAGCACGATGAAGGATTGTCATTATGGTTGTGAATACCCGCAAAAACAGCAACAACAAGAGCAGGTATCTGCGCTTGCTTCGGCAATAGAATTGGATAGAAGAAGGGACGGGACGCAGAAGCCCTTGAATGCCTTGAACAAGGCCGATGTAGGGCTTCTTTACCGTGACCCAGAGGCCGCTCTGGACAATGTGGACCTCAACGACGCCGATGATGTTACTCTGCAGGAGTTTAAGGCTAAGATGGAGGAGAAGTTTTTGGAAAAAGTTGTGCGGCCCGGCGATTCTGGCTACGAGTACGACAAGCGTGTTGAGGTGAAGCCGACGGAGCGCAGCGAGTGGGACGACTCAGACTGATCCAAGACTTCTGTGGAGAAAGCGTCGAAAAAAAATAATAAAAAAAACATCTCCAAACAGGGACGGACACAGATGCACATAAAAGCAAAAAGCAAAAAAAAAGAGGGGGCGACGTTGCGTTAACTGCTCTTTTACTGGGAAGTGGCGGCATTTTTCCTTATCCATTTATTTTTGTGCGGCGTCTTGCTATTTTTTTTCTTCCTAACTTTTTTTTTCTTCTATCCTTATGAATTGAATTTGCGGAAGGCGCACAACACGCAGAGGTCCCGTTCCCGCAAGAATAGAAGGTTGGGGAAGAGAGTCTCTGCATCCTGCAGGAAGCCTTTCTTCCTGTATTGTGGAACAGCGAAAGAGAAGAGGGAAAAAGTACTCGAGTGATTGCCCCCAAAGCATGGAGTTGGTGGATGTGGAGGAGTTTGACCTTCTGCGGTACCTGCACCTTTCCTCCCTCAAGGACGAAAATCAGTTGACAGAAGAGGAGAGGCAGTCGTTGGAAAAGCAGCGACACCGGGTGTTAGATGAGGCTCAGTATGTCGGTCATCTTGCTCAAGAGAAAAAAAACCGCATGCGTGAGCAATTTTTGCTTCGTGGTCGGGCACCCAAACCGAGATCCTACGTGCGTGACGCTGCCGACAAATACGGACTCTTCTGGTTTGGGCGGGGGAAGTATGAGGGTGACTCGGATGGCGAGGAAAAGGACGTGGATGGAAATGCGGCCACTTGCTGTTCGCAGCAGAAAAAAAGGCAGGAAGAGAAACTGGACCATGACGACTCTGAATCAGAGGATATTTCTGACGAAGAGCGATTTAAGGTGTGGCGGCCGGTTGTGGGTCCCCCATTACGTAGAGATAAGGCCGGAAGTATGCCGCCTGTTCCACCCAGCAGCCGTCGAGAGGTTCTACACAAAGCCCCAGTGTCGAATCCCAAGCCTGTGCCCGCTGTAGAAACGAGAAGGTATGTTTTAACACCGCCATGGGCGGAACATTATAATGTGAACAGCGATGTTTCTAAAGGGGGGCGTGCAAATCAAGTGAAACGGCAACATGAACTTTATAAGCATGGCGTGCTTCCCCGTGGTGTGGACGGCATCGATGAAGCTCTTCGTCACGCACGCAATGCCCAAGATCTGCTTGTTGAACGGCAGAAATTGCGGATCCGAAAGGCTCAACAGCAGAATCAACGCGAGTTGAAGAGGGCGCTAGAAGAGCAAATAATGGAGAAGAAGAGGCTTCAGTTGTCGCGGCGCGAGGAGGAGGTTGTTCAAATTTACGGCCCCGAGATGCGTCACATTCTTGACGGCGTTTTTGGCCGTAATCCGAGTATCCAGCAGCAGCTTCATGTTGTAGAGAACGTGGATGATGGGGATAATGATAATGATTTGTTTTTGAAATTACTTCAAACGGAATTACCGCAACAGCCTTTTAGAGATAGATCTTCTACGGGGGAGTCGCGTGCACGGGAGTCGCGTTTTGCTTTGCTGACCGCATGTGAAGATCAGAAGCGACGCCTAAGCACTACTGCAAGAGGAACGCCAACGGAAAATAAATTGGCAGAAGACACCGCGACACCCCTAACGCCACCCCTCACCGTGAACTTCAGTCGCTTCAATCAGCAATCGTCAGGCAAAATTATCGATAATGAACTGCAGCATCGCGAATCAAACCGCCATCACCACCACTTTAGTTACTTATCCGACAAACAGGGGGACATGAATATGGCAGGGCTTGTGAACAGCACATCAAGTTCTTATTGAAATGTCTCTTTCCCATTTATATTATTACTCTACCTGCTTGTGGGTTAGTATATACATATGCTTGCATACTATCGTTATATCTTTTTTTGAATTACAGTGTGTGTTTCCTGCTCCGTGTCTGCGGCACTGCAGTAAGCAGTGGGATACTTTTCCGAGTTGATATTTTGGCAGAGAAGGCATTTTAGACCTCTTCTTTCTTGTCCAAATGAGGTTTGGCTGAAGTGCCGTACTATAAGGTGCGTGATTTGTGCTTTTATTTTAATTGTTCGTTTTTGAGTGTATGAGAGCGAGAAGGAGACATGAGAGAAGGAATAAGAGAGCCTTGATAAACTGAGAGTTTTTGTACTCGTTTATTTATTTATTTATTATTATTATTATTATTATTATTATTATTATTATTATTATTACATTTTTTATAATTTGTTTTGTTCTGCTCCTTACAAAGTGCTCCTTACATGCTGAGGAAACCTCTGGGAGCCGCAAAATGCCAATTCGTCGTGCGACGGTTTCTGCCAGCACGTGGTGCGCATAAGAATACTCCGCCGAACGACATGGCTCTTGTTATGCAGGCAGACTGCGATGACACCGAGCTTTATCCTGTTGCAATTACCACGAATGCAGCGTTAGTGCAACAGTCGCCGGAGGCACTTCTCAACAATGCCAATCGTCCTCTTCTTGTGACCCTACTGCTGTTGTTACACCGCCGCGGTGTGCTGGAAGATAGGCATACGCGTCAAGAAATAGCGCGTTTTTTAGTTCCTTCTGTGCATCTTGACTGGTTGCCGTGGCTATGGGGAGATGGCACGGTATCTGTATCATCATCATCACCACCAGGGGACATTTCTGCCTTGCGGACCTTGCCACCCGTTGCATGGCGGGGAGTGATTGAGCACGAAAAACCGAATGACCCGAGCGATAATCTGCATTATTGGCATCAGGTGTTTTTTGCGTTGTCCTCTAATCCTGCCTTTACAGAAACTGGGACATTTGATAGTGCCCATCGAGAGCTTCTTACGATGATGCGTGATTATTATATTGATGTTGCGCGTGTGCAACAACTATTACCTCCACTAGATGATGGTCTCATTGTGACTCGCATGCCGCCTGTGCTTCTTCGTAAGCTTCGAAGGTCATATGTGGAACAGTATCGTCTTATGCAATACGCAGAGCTGCTTCGTGCTGTGGTAGACGGTGAGGAACTTGTTATGCCGGTAGATGGCACTGCTTTGTTGCATGACGCAGAGCTTTTTGAATATTACTTGACCATCCCTGGTCGTCGCGAGTCGGGGGTGGAGCGTGACAAGCGATGGGCGTGTACACTAGAGTACGCTACTTTTTCATTCCAGAAATTGTTCCGTCAACAGCGCTGGAAGGGAGCCTCCGTCAGCACGGCACTGACACGTCCTGTTACGCTACTTATGAATGTTTGCGTCTTTGCGAAGAATGACAATTCAGAGGGCGATCGATACCGGGAGGCCATTCTTCATGTGATGCGTTTATTTCACGCCCAATGTGGGAATGAGGGTGATGTAAACGATGACGATAATGTCGCTTCTGGGACTGCATGGGGGTTACTGAGGCTTCTTCGCGATACAGGAGTAGAGAGTATGTTAGCCAAATGCAAACGACTGCATTTTGGTCCAATGCGTGGACTTCTGGATGTGTGTACGGTAGCTGTTGTTACCGAGATGCTTCTCTCTCTTGAAACTGATACTGGGAGTGAAGGCATTAAACAAAGATTTTGGCATGATGAACTGGAAATACTTCTTAGTCCACGCAAAATTATTGGCAGTGAAATGTATGACGTAATAAAGAGCTATGGTCATCCTTATTTTGCCACACTTTATGGTTTGTTGAACTTGGGTGCACGTGTAAAAGCTGCACTTGAGGTAGTTGTGACAATACCGGAGTCAGTGGAACGTTATACCACTGATTTGGAAAACTGGGGAGCTTTCATTGGTCGTCCGCTACGTTTGAACATTTGTGACGTTCCATCGTCGCAGTTGTTGTCGTCATTGTTGCCTTCGGGCCGAGTCGGTGGTAACTCGTTTTCAACCTGGCGATGTGGGTGTCAAACTGTGAACTCTGTTCAGGCAGGGCATGTTTCTTGTATAGGTTGCGTGTCGCGGAATTTGGTGGAAAATGAGTGGACCTGTCCGCATTGCTCATGGTGCTCGAATTCGGGCGATTACATGGATAGGTGCATTGATTGTCACCGTCCTCATTTGTGCCGGATTTCAGCAGAAGGTGCTGATACGGCTTCCGGTTGGAATAATTTGCCAGTGACGCCCTTTCTGTGGTACTGTGAGGGCTGTTTCTCCTACTCCCCACTGGGTGGTGATGCTGCCACTGGAGGAGGAATCTGTAGTGATTGCGGTCTTGCTAACAAAGGTTGGTCAACAAGTTACTTTGAGTGGAGATGTGGATGCGGTGAGGTGAACAGCCCCTTTCGACGGTGGTGCTGGGCATGCAGTGTGAGGCGGAAGCACGCAGGTTGCAAGTGCGTTAGTTGTGGCACGGAATGGAAATTGCAGCCGCGTCGTCTGGTGCCGGCGACAACAGCAACGGCGGTGGGGGATATCTGCCCATCGTGCAACGGATTTCACCCGCGTGACGTTGCTGCCTGGAAACGCCGACTGCTGCGCTGCCCATTTTGTCACTGGCTAACACTCAGTGATGTTGAAGGGTGTCAGAATTGTAAGCGGACTTTGGGGGTTATTCGTCAGTTTCTTACTGGCCTGCCGGATTGCCCTTGGTTATGTCACGCGTGTGGACGCCAGCATCATCATCGCGATAATGAGGGCACTCTGCATCCTCCATGGCGTGAGTCTATTGAGGCGTGCGGGAGTTGTGGGGCGTTACGGATTGATCCGGTTCTTTTTGAGAAGCATGAGGCATGGGCTTGCGTGAACTGCGAGGGCCGGTTGGTGCGAGGGTTCAACTGTCCCCATTGTCTCTTTCTACACCCTGCCGTTCCTGCAATGGAGGTCGGTGCATGGCGTTGTGTTGTGTGTTTGTCGGTAAACAACAGCTGGAATGGTGTCTGCCAGCGCCGCGGTTGTGGAACGCGACGCTCGGCAGACTCCCCAGCGCTGCCGTATTCCCCGTGGCGTTGTGGTCACTGCGGGGGTCGCAGCCGAAGTGCGCAGGTTCCTCAGTGTGAACACTGCGGCACTGTCCGGGCGGCGGCGTACCCTGCTTTGGAGTCTGCTGTTGATGAAAAGCGACTGGGGCGACTTGCCGAGTTGGAGGCACTCCTGGCCGAAAGGGCGGCGGCGAGCGACGACACGGCGCCCGATCTGAATTTGGGGAGCATCCCGACGGACGATTGGACACGTTGTCTCGTGGACAGCATGCGACTTTCCATACCGCTGGGATGATGTGGAACGAGGCGATGTGGATGCTAATGATTGGCGGCAAGGCGTTATTGTGGGTTGCGCAGCAAACTGCCTCATTTCCCCTCTACACCGTTTTTTTAATTACTTTTTTATGCGTGTAAGCCAAAAATAATGATAATAATAAAGGTCGGGAGGCGTTTCCATTGTATTGAGGGCTCAGAGGAGAGGGGACGCGTGTTCCTCCTTTTCCATCTTCTGGACGTATGTGCCACTCTTCCATTCTTTTTTTTTTATTATTTGCCACGAAAAGCAACAATGAAAAAAAAAAAAAAAAAAAAGAGTTTGTTGCCTGCTCTCTATTTATTTATTTATTTATTTTTTTACACCCACCCAGGCTTTCTTCCTTCTTAAATATTTCTTGTCTTTATGTTTTATTTTACCTTATTATTATTCTTGTTGTTTCTTTTTTTCTTTTTCATGAGCAGGAAGTGCACGGTGGAAACCCAAACAAAACACGCAAAGGAAGGAGCCAGCACCATTAAATAACAATAGGACAACATTAACAGGTAAGGAAAGACAGAGAATATCACAAAGTTGTCGCGAGGTGCGTGGAAATTTTATCCTCTACGCTCTCTTAGTGAATATTGTATTTGATCAATAGAGGTGCCTGCCACGAAAATACACCTAAGAAGTGGCTCACGCGGTGCAGGCTTCCAGCGTCTCCTTTTTTACTTTGTGTACATATATACACACATATATATATATATATAGGCAGTCCATAAGTCGTTGATTGCGTGACTGCTTTTGTGTTGCTGTTTGGCGAGAAGGAAAAGGATATTTACTTTTACCTACTCTTTGTGTTGTGTGTTCTGTTTGTAGTTTGAGAGGTCTGGGAGAGAAAATATAGGGAGAAGGAACATTTATTTTTATTTTTTTTTTTGTTTTATTATTGTTATTATCATTATTATTTGTGTGTATTGGGAGTTTTTGTGTTTGTGTGTGTGCGTAACCATACGGCTGTCGTTTTGTGGGAATGATGTCGCGCTGCAGGAAGAAGATGGCGACGAATATGCTTCCTGCATTTAACCTGGATATTGTCCGGCAGTACACAGACGTGATAATGGACGTTGAAAACGAACAGGTGTGTAATGCCGCCGCGTGCCACCCTATCACCGACATCAACAATAGGGTTTTTATTGGCACGTGGCGCGATGCCGCGGATGAACAGTTGCTACGCCGGCATCGCATCACTCATGTATTAAATGTGGCGCGTGAGTTAATTCCGGAGGAGGAACTTTGCCGGATGAAATCCATACAGTTTGTGAAGAGTAAGTGCATCCCGCTGAGCGATAGCCAGAATGAGGATTTGGAACGATATTTTGATGAGGCCTTTGAGTTTATTCGTAGCGCCGTTCATCAGGGCAGGATTTTAGTGCATTGCCGCCGCGGAATTTCCCGCAGTGCGGCAATAGTGATTGCGTACATAATGGCCTCTGAAGGGCAGTCTTTTCGAACGGCATTTGAAAATGTGCGTATGAAACGGCCTTGCATCTCACTTAACCTGGCATTTATTCAGCGATTGGAAGAGTTTGAGGCTCATCTTCATCTTATGCGTCCCACTTATGGGATCGAGTACGACGGGAAAGATGATTTGCACGCGGAGTGCGTGGATGTGATGCATGTCAACGAAGGTGTTCTTTCTGAGCCTCAAAGTACGTTATTAGAGATGCGATGCGGGTTTGAGAAGTGAAGTCTCACGGGGAGTATCTGAAAGCAATGGGTGGTTTTTCATATTTGCATACATGTTACTCCTAGTTCAGTTTAGATGGAAAAGCGTCTGTTGAAACGTCGAGCACTCGCCGTTTTTGTTGTTGTTGTTGTTGTTGTTGTTGTTGTTGTTTTTCTTTTATGTATCTCATCCACTACGTTTACTTTTTTTTTTTTTTTTTTTGTGTGTGTGTGTGTGTGTTTCTTTCTTCTGCTGCTTCCTGTTACGTATCAACCTCTTCGCTTCCTTTGTTGGGCCGTTTGTGTTATAGAGGACTCCGAGGGAAAAGGAACTAAATTCCCTTCCCACCGAGAAACGAAAAGAAAAGACAAAAAAAAAAAATAAAATAAAATAAAAAAAGGAAAAAAAAAAGGGAAAATTATATATTCTTTGAATGTGCGAGAAAAACGACGAACGATTGGTGAGCTTGCAGGGATGAGGGGCTCTCACGACCCACTCACTGACTCTCTGCGCATGTATTTAATTGCATGTTTCTGTGGGAAAGCGTCGAAGAAAACGAGAGATGATGCCGATGACAGTTTTTTTTTTTTTTTTTTGTTGTTGTTGCCGTTGTTCCTCTAGCTTGTACTGATATTTACATTTTTTTAAATATATGTATATATTTGCAGCTCGCCGATTTTATTTTTATTTTTATTTTTGTGATTAAGTATTTTCTTGTTGTCGTTGGTGGTTTTTTTGTTCTTAGGCTCCCACCTTCACTTTTTTTTTATTATTTATTTGTGGAACTCTTTCCATGATAGCTGTTGTGTGGGTGTGCGAGGGGGAGGAGGATTCTCCGTCTGGCAAGACGTTTTTTTTTTTACTTTTACTTTATTGCTTCCACAGGGCATTTGGTGCCGTGTGGCGTCAACGTGCGTCGTCGTGTTTCCGGAGGCCTCTTTATTGCGATGAATTTTGTGTTTGACCCTTCAGTCTCCTTCTGTTGTCTTTTTTTTTTTTTTGCTTTCCGCACCGGAGTTGTTGACGGGAGCGTCCTCATGTCGACCTCTAACTTTTCCGCCTCTCTCATGTTGGCGGGGATGGACTACATCGCCCCCTCAGAGGCGTGCACTCTCCCAACGAGGCTGCAGCGTGGCGCAGACAGCTCGGTCCAACGTCATGCCTCCGGCAACGAGGTGGTGAAGATAACACTCCAGGACTGTTTGGCTTGCAGCGGATGTGTCACGACGGCGGAGACGATTCTTGTTACTTCCCAAAGTCGTGCTGAAATTATTAAAGTTTGCGCTTCCGACCTGGACCGTCCTTTTCTTGTGACCATCAGTGATCAGTCAGCCGCCTCTATCGCTGCCCACTTGAAGGTCGATTCTCGAAGGGCCTTCCACATCATAAGTGGTTTTTTCCGCACCGTCCTAAAATCCCAGTACGTTTCAGATCTCCGATGGGCTCAACATATTTCCGTTGAGAAGACAGCCCAGGAGTATTGTCATAGGCTACAGCATGCGAGGGACAAATTACCGATGATAGTATCGGCCTGTCCAGGTTGGGTGTGCTACTGCGAGAAGCAGGGGTCTGCGATTCTTCCGTTGTTGTGCCCGGTGATGTCTCCTCAGGGCATCGCAGGCTGCTATGCCAAAAGGGTCTTCCCACAATTATGCCACATCTCGGTCCAACCATGTTTTGACAGGAAACTGGAGGCGGCGAGGGATACATCCATTGACGGTAATGAACGTTATACGGATTTTGTACTGAGCACGCAAGAACTTATGGAATGGATGATGGAAACGGACGCCTCTATTCCCTGGGAAGCTCCGTTAAACTCCAGTTTTGAATCCCTTTCTGCCCCATCGCTGAAGGAATCGAGTAGCGTCCTTGCGGCGACTATGGAAGGAAGCGGCGGCTACCACCGTTTTGCGATGCAGTACGTGGCTGAAAATGTACATAATTTGTCATTTTCACCAGTCGACATTTTCTATGAGATGAAGCGGAATGCCAACCATCACGTGGCGACAAGCCCCAGCAATCCCGGCGAGGTATATTGTGTCGCCTACGGATTCCAACACATACAAAACATTGTACGGGGCCTGAAACGGAAGCTGGCATCGGTTTCATCCTATACTTTTATTGAACTGATGGCGTGCCCAGACGGCTGTCTCAACGGCGGCGGTCAGGTGAGAAGTGGTAATCTAACTTCTAACCTGGAAACAATTGCCGCTGTAAAGGCCATCTTTGGCAGTTATTTGTTTTCATGCGTGGGGCAGCGGGCCAGCGGGACTGAATCGAGAATGGATGTAACGGGCGCTCCTGATCGCAAGGAAGGTGAGCCGCTTTGCTTCTCCCTCGCTGCCTTTAGGGAGGTGGAGAAAAGGGTCGGAACGCCCCTCTGGTGCTGCGTTTTTCATGATCGTCAACAAGAATTTGAGGCGACATTGAACAATGGGGGTGTAAGGAGCTTGAAGTGGTGATGGGTGCATCCTGCCGCAATTACTACATGCGATTTTTTTTTATGTTTCTTGTGAGAGGGCCGTGATTACTCTTTTTCCACCGAGTGTTGCGTTACAGCTGAAAAACCCTGAGAAGTGAATTGTTGACGAAAAAGAGAAGGGGAAAAAAAGCATCATAATGTGATGATTACCAAAAAGAAAACTCAAGTTTTTTGTTTTTTTTTTTTGACTTATTTTTGTTGTTGTTATTGTGGTGGTGGTGGTTCTTCGGTCTTCCCAGCCAAGTGGAGTGACTCGGTGCGAATGGGTTGGAAAGGGGCTGGGAGCCGTGACGCACATTTGCTTTCACTCTCCTCTCAACGGCCTCTTTTGGCGCTTTTATTGATTTTTTTTTTTTTTTTCTGGGGGGAAGGGGGAATGGCCGTGAGAATCATCTCACATTTTGGCACAACAGTGCACGCACACACAAACATATATATATATATATATATATATATTGAGGTCAACTCATTATTTTGCTTTACATTTGTTTTCCTTTTCTTTTGCCGCGGCTAACTTGAAACAACAACAAAACAAGAGGGAACCCTCTGGGAAAAAGGGTTTTATTTGAGGGGAGTAAGTAAGGATACAATTTGAGGTTTCTTTTTTCTGGAGGGAGGAGAGGGAATTGGATTGTGCCTCTTATACGTAGCAGCAAGGAGGAGGAGGTGGTGGTGGTGGTGGCAGGGGGGCCGGGTGACAGGTGTCGATGCTCAACGTTAGAAGGCTTATTTTTTTTGCACTGCTTTTTTTGCACGGCGCCGTATCAGAAACGGGTGTCTTTCCTCGCCGATGTCACATTGATTCCAATCATTTTTTGGCCAAGTCTATTTCTCGCGGTGAGTGGATTGGCATCGAGTACGACATCACATATCTTAAGGGAATGTGTGATACTGACGACAGAAATGGAATATTAAGTGCCAGCATTAACGGTCGAAACAAGTCCTTGAAGGCGCGAGAAGGGTTTATTGCTTTTGATAATGTGGCAACAGTGCATTTTAATTTGACGTCTGGTAAGAAGGGAGTGCAGCTTTTTTCCTCTCAAATATGCTGGAGCTCCGCAAATTGTACTGCTCTTTGCTCCTCTGAACCCCTTGGTATCGTTTCCTCATGTACTGTTGGTAATATTATGGATTCATTAGCCATACTTCTTTTTTTTGTCGTGCCACTTTTTGTGTGCTCCTTTGCGTTGCTTGTCTGCTATGCTCGAGTTAAAATTTTGCGGCGACGGGGAATGCTTGCGTTTAGGGAGCAACACCGACAGGAGGACATTTCGCCCGCTGCAGCGTTTGAAAAGAACCGAAAACCAAGATATGACAACTTTGCGGATATAAATCCAGCAAATAGCGTGGAAACTGCAGTTTGTGAGGTGACGATGGTGCAGGGCGATGGCGAGACTACAACCCGCGAAGCCGGAGACATGAATGACTCTGCAAGGAGCAACAGCGTTAAGAAGGATATTACAAATGAGTGCGAACGTAAACCATTTGAAGTTTTCTTTTTGAGGGAAAACAAGAATATCTGCGAAGAAGAAAAATCGGGTGCCCTCCAACAAGACAATGCCATACAAACAATAGTTGACATCACAAGAGACATCAAAAAAAATGATAATCACGCCCTTCACTACACACATTTCCGGAGCACCGACAGCCCTTACATCTGCAACGCCAGAGAGAAAACAAAGCATGAATCGACAGAAGCGGTTATAAATACGTTTCAATTAAAAGAAGAATTAGTCCAACACGGGGTCGCTGAGGAAGAGGCAGCCCGAAGGATGCATGGGATGGCCGAGGAAGAGGCAGCCCGAAGGATGCATGAGGTGGCCGAGGAAGAGGCAGCCAGAAGGATGCATGAGGTGGCCGAGGAAGAGGCAGCCAGAAGGATGCATGAGGTGGCCGAGGAAGGGGCAGCCCGAAGGATGCATGAGGTGGCCGAGGAAGAGGCAGCCCGAAGGATGCATGAGGTGGCCGAGGAAGAGGCAGCCCGAAGGATGCATGAGGTGGTCGAGGAAGAGGCAGCCCGAAGGATGCATGAGGTGGCCAGGGAAGAGGCAGCCCGAAGGATGCATGAGGTGGCCGAGGAAGAGGCAGCCCGAAGGATGCATGAGGTGGCCGAGGAAGAGGCAGCCCGAAGGATGCATGAGGTGGTCGAGGAAGGGGCAGCCCGAAGGATGCATGAGGTGGCCGAGGAAGAGGCAGCCCGAAAGATGCATGAGGTGGCCGAGGAAGAGGCAGCCCGAAGGATGCATGAGGTGGCCGAGGAAGAGGCAGCCCGAAGGATGCATGAGGTGGCCAAGGAAGAGGCAGCCCGAAGGATGCATGAGGTGGCCGAGGAAGAGGCAGCCCGAAGGATGCATGAGGTGGCCAGGGAAGAGGCAGCCCGAAGGATGCATGAGGTGGCCGAGGAAGAGGCAGCCCGAAAGATGCATGAGGTGGCCAAGGAAGAGGCAGCCCGAAGGATGCATGAGGTGGCCAGGGAAGAGGCAGCCCGAAGGATGCATGAGGTGGTCGAGGAAGAGGCAGCCCGAAGGATGCATGAGGTGGCCAGGGAAGAGGCAGCCCGAAGGATGCATGAGGTGGCCAGGGAAGAGGCAGCCCGAAGGATGCATGAGGTGGCCAAGGAAGAGGCAGCCCGAAGGATGCATGAGGTGGCCAGGGAAGAGGCAGCCCGAAGGATGCATGAGGTGGTCGAGGAAGAGGCAGCCCGAAGGATGCATGAGATGGTCGAGGAAGAGGCAGCCCGAAAGATGCATGAGGTGGCCGAGGAAGAGGCAGCCCGAAAGATGCATGAGGTGGCCGAGGAAGAGGCAGCCCGAAGGATGCATGAGGTGGTCGAGGAAGGGGCAGCCCGAAGGATGCATGAGGTGGCCAAGGAAGAGGCAGCCCGAAAGATGCATGAGGTGGCCAGGGAGGAGGCAGCCCGAAGGATGCATGAGGTCGCTGAGGAAGAGGCAGCCAGAAGGATGCATGAGGTGGCCAAGGAAGAGGCAGCCCGAAGGATGCATGAGGTGGCCGAGGAAGAGGCAGCCCGAAGGATGCATGGGATGGCCGAGGAAGAGGCAGCCCGAAAGATGCATGAGGTGGCCGAGGAAGAGGCAGCCCGAAGGATGCATGGGATGGCCGAGGAAGAGGCAGCCCGAAGGATGCATGAGGTGGAAGGGTCCAGAAGTGTGGTTGTAGCAGAAGAAGAAATGGGTGGCGCAGGGATACAAATGGCGGAAGAAGTTGTGTGGCGAACTTGTGGTTGGGAGTCTGTTGTTGATATTGAAGAAATCTCGACAAGTGATGATGACGTTTTTAGCTTTGAGGGCGTTGAACAGGTCGATGCGTTGGGCTCCGTTGTTGGGATGGAACAGAATTGGCGCGGTTGCATTGAGTCTGAGGATCGAGGCTTTGGGAGTGATGTCGTTGAATGCAAAACGGTGTATGAACCCCGTTCTGCCGTGTGCAGCGTTTCTTCTTGGGAGGCCATGCCTGTTGATGAAGAGGAAGAGGCGCTGCAAGGGCCTGTGGAAGCGGAAGGATCTCAGCGGAAAGTTATGGTTGACGTGCGTGAGGAATGGAGGTTTCTAGCGAAGTCTCGTTTTGGGACGACTGAGAAGGAACGGATATTATCGGCTTCGAGAAGTTACAGCGATGAGTACAAGTGGCGGATGCTGAAGATGGTTAAACCGCCACCCGATACACAACCGCCCAAACCATTTATTGGATTTTCTTTAGCCGAGTTTCTTGTTGAGTCGTTCTTAAAGGTTGATGGCTTGTATGTGAATGGACCCGCGTATCAAGTGGGAATTCGTATTGACGACATACTTCTTAGTATTGAGGGGGAACGTGTTACGAGTATCACTGAGGCTCGAAGGGCCGTGTCGAGGCACTGCCGTGTCGGTTGTCTGACGGACCTGACGCTTCAGCGATCCGATGGTGCGGTGTATACTGTCTCTCTCTGGGTGATGACCGCAGAGCCGCGTTTCAAGGAGGAACCATACTTTTTTGATGTTAGTCAACACAACCGTATTCAGCGCCACCGTGCGACGACCGTGATTGAAGGTACATCAAGCAAATAGTGAGCAATGGATAATGTTTGCGATTTCTTTTTTTTTTTTTTTTTTTTGGTGTGACAAGCAGCAAGCATAATATCTACAGATGTGCTCACACCCGAGAATGAGTGGGTACGTGCCTTGCTTGTTTGCTTGCGTGTTGTGATGAATGTATGAAGGCGTTTTTTTTCTTCTCTTTTTGCCCTTTATGTCTTCCCTGTTGGATGCCGAATGCAGTCACGCATAGGTGTGGGGGTGGAGGCCGCACTCGGAGGCCAAAGTGACGTTTGAGTTGGGACGCTAACGACTGGGGAAACAGGTTGTTTTGCCTATGAGGTGCATTTTTTAACGTCGCATCAAGTTTATAACGGCGGTAACGTCCTTGGTCCTTTTTTCCCCTTCACGCGGTGTTTGAAGGCGAGGCAGAGCGAATTACAATTCCCCTTTTTGAGATTGCACTCGCGGATCATGCTGTGGGAGGTGCGTTGTTTGTTTTTAGTCCTTCTTGTAGAGAGGTACGTCCGCCTTGTGGATGTTTTCAGACATTTCCTTTGTACTCGATTGTGCGTGTTGTTCTTTTTTCTTCTTTGGGGAGGGGCGGCCTGCGAGTGGCGGGAAGTGTGATGGAGAAATATGACACGGGCGAAAGAAAAGTGAGGGAGAAGTGCTGTGAGGGAGGAACAATATTTATAACCGGATTCGTGGAAAGCATCCATGCATCTGCTGATGCCATGAAGTGAAAATAGGGAAAGAAAACCGCTGTTTTTTTTTTTTTTTTTTTTCTTGAGGGGAGGGGATATTTTTGATTTATACAAACATTTTCTCAATTAAACAACAACGGTATTCTGGATATTAAAACAAGAAAATCAAACAAAAAGAAGACATTGATTGCTTTCACTTTCTTTTTTTTTTTTTTTTTTACTTCTAAGGGTTTGTTTAAAAAAGCGGGAAAAGGTGGGAGGAACCATTGGCGATTGGGATTTTGACCATACAATAATTATATATATATATATATCTGTTTTTATACATGCATTGGGTGTTATGTTCAACGCTCTTGACTGCGGTTTTTTTTTTTTTTTTTTTTTATCACATGTACTGACCTCAAAAGGAAGGCACACATTTTTTCTGTATGCCTCGTGCATATTACAAGCCATTTACAGTGTACGAAGAGGCGGTGGGCTTCCACGGCACACGACGGAACGCGTATTTTTGTTGTGCCTTACTTTTCGCGGGTCTGATGTTTAAAATATTACTGCTTTCGCGGTACTCCACCGCATCTGACTTCTCTGACTTGCCATCTTTGAAGGACAATCCTCAGTACTCCAATTTGGTGGCGGAGCGCATGGAGTTGGCGGAGAGCCTCGCCTCGCTGGAGGGCATGCGACGGGCCATGAAGAACCGTCGCGCTCCGCCGGCTTAGCGGGAGGGGGCGATAAATGCACCTGCGTCGTTTGAAAGTGAGCTTTTTTTTTTTCTCTTTAATTATCCTGATTTCGTACTCTCTTTACTTTGTTTTGCGGGGGGTACACACACGTGATGTCAAATGCGCGACTTTCTGCCTCTTCTTTTCGTCTACGAAAGAGTTTGACGGGGCACGACGGGCCCGGGGACACAACTCCATCCACAAGAAAGAAGTACAAGAAGGGGAGCGATAGAAAAACGAGAGGAGGAAAGAAGAACATGCGTCCTCGGGATCCTTGCACTGCGGCCTTCTACGATGATGTGCAACGCATTCAGCAGCTGATACGGGCCGCCCTTTCGGGTGAAGAGGAGGAGGAAGAAGAAGAGATTGTGGATAATGCGGATGAGGAAGATGTGGACGAGGAGGAGCAGCTCTCCATACGCCGCCTGGAACGCGCACAGAAACGACGGGCGACGGTTGCATCTCTGCTTGGCAAGCCGGGCCTTCTCCGCGTTGTCGAAACAGGAGAGGAATATGGGTTCATGTTTCGCGTGGAGGAAACGTACGACAGTGAAGGTGCCCGCCGTTTAAAGCCGAAGTTCAAATTGACCCGAAAAAGTCGATACCCCGCAATGCCGCTTCATTGGGCCGTCCTCGGTCGCTCGCACCGTGCGGTGGAGTTTCTCGTTAAAAACGGAGTGGATGTGCAGCTGGAGGTTCCGGATCTGCCAAGGGTTACCGCAGCTTTTATCTGCGCATGCAACAATTCTTTTGAGACGGCGAGGCGATTAGAAAAGGCAATTCAGGGGCAGCGGCAGCGCCTTCAAAAGGAGGAGGAGCAGAAACGCGAATGGTTGGAGGCGCTAGAGTACAAGAAGCAAGAACGTGAGCGACTGGCGGCGCTAGAGGAAGAGGAGGAACGCGAGGAGGAGGAGGACATGGATGAAGGAAGAGATGGTGACGGTGCAAATGACAATGATGACAATGACGACGATGACGACGACGACGACGGATTCCCAGAGGAGGATGCATAGCAGCGTGGAAGTACTTAAAAAAAAAAAAGGAAAAAAAAAAGTGGGGTCAGATGTAAATAACAGTTGGGTACCACGTGTGTATGTCTGTCGTAACACAGCCTCTTTTTTCAATGTTTACTGGAAACAACACAATAAAAACGACGCAGTTAAGCCAACGAGAAAAAAAAAAAAAGTGTGTGTCTCTCCGTTATGTTTGTTTTTTTTTTTTCCCGTTTTTTTTTTGTTTGTTTGTTTGTCTTTACTTTTTTGGTTGTAGATTTTTGGAGCAAGAGGAGGAGGAGGACGGGGTGGGGGGACAGGTGGCAGCAATGGAAAGACGTGAGCGACTGTTGGAGGAGTACAAGGGCCTGCAGGCAAACCTGGAGGAGGCCCTTGAGCTGAAGCAGAGCAATCAGGCTGATTATGAGGTGGATGCGTTGATTGAAGAGATCAAGGAGGAGCTACGCGCTGCCGTTGCATCTCTCAATGCCATGGAAGAGATTGAGCAGACACCGGGACTAACAAAGACATTTGGACCTGATGACAAACCCGTCATCTGCTACGCAGAGACCGCACCGTATGAAGTGCATTTTGACAATGTGGCGTGGTACAGCTGTGTCATCACGGACATCGTGTCACCCGAGACATCGCTAGACCGTATTTGCTACAAGGTGTGGATTTTAGGTTACAACGTGGAGGAGGAGGTTTTTAGTGAACAACTGCGTTTGTGGCAGCCTCAGACTGCCGAGGGAGAGGGCGCACTCCGCTCTGGCGTTGTGTGTCACGCGATTGATCCCCAATCGGGGAAGTTTCGGTCAGCAAAGGTGGAGCGTCTCACCCTTGATAACACCGTCATTGTCGCTTTTGACGCTGTTGCAGACGAGACGGAGACGGAGACGGCTGCCGCCACTTCTGCTGCGTCGGGAAACGTCACTGCTCCTTTCATCAAGGAGGTGCCGCTGTCTCATGTGCGTGTTGGCCGCTTTTATGAAGAGCTGCGTAAGCGACCATTGCTTACTCCCGAGGAACGGGCGAAGCGGCGGGCAGAGAACTTGGAACGGAAACGAATGCGGATGCAGGCGAAGCGTCAGTTGGAGGCTGATTTGGCAGCACAGAATGCGAATGATTGGCAAAGGCTCGTGGATGATATGGGAATGGGAAATGGCCCCAAAAGGCGGAAACGCTGACGAGCCAATTGCGACTTGTTTCCGTTTTATTTTGAGGCTTTTTTTCTTGTGGATTTGCTCATCTCCTCTTGTGGGTCGGGCGTTTCTCCTTCCTGCGTCCAGTAGTTTGCGTTTTTTTTTTTTTTTACCGAAACCGTCACACTCGCATTCTGTTGTATTCTTCTTGCTCCTTTCTACGTTTTTTTCTTTCTTTTTGTTTTCACCACTTTTTATTACGGTTATTTGAAGGAACAACTTTTATAATTGCCGTTTACTTTTGAAATCAATGCTGAAGAAGGCGTACCTGCTGGCCTACAATGGCTCCATGCTCACTGGCTGGGCTCTTATTCTTTTTAAGGTTGTCAATCATGTGGCGTCTGGGAAAAACGTCTGGGATGTTTACCCGCTTATTGCCAGGCTGCTCCTTGTATTTCAGGGCGGTGCAGTGATGGAGATAATTCATGCCATGCTGGGTTTGGTGCGT